TTCTTTCCATGGGCCCATCCTCTGGAGGACCTTGTTCCAAATCCTGTCCCAATCTCCTCGGTCATATGCTTTCCTCCTCTTGGCTAGGGGTCTGGGGTACGGTTCAGATTCCATTCCGAATACGTCGCTCGATGATCAGACCCGTAATTTTCATGGTAGAGGTGGCATTTGATGAGCAGGTCTGGTCGGTCCGTCACAGTCTGGTCAATGGTTATGCTTCTTCCTGGGTCATTTAGGGGCCAGAAGGTCGCCGTGCCCCGAGGCAGGCAACCCAGAAGATTATGCTCTTGGAAGAAAGTGATGAGTTCACCTGCGGCCTCGATAAATCTTGGTTGAATATAGTTGCCACCCCCATTGGGTGGTGTCGGTTGAAGCCTCCTGAGAGGATGACACTCATGGTCCTGCGGGCATCGTGTTGAGCGGCTGCAATGGTGTTCTCGATTGTCGTGAGGGCCGGTTCTGACGACCCTTCAACAGGGCCAAATAGAGGGACGGGAGGAATATAAACGGAAAAGAGTAGGGTCTGGGAGTCGGAGGTACAGATCTTAATTGCGGTAATGTCCAGGTGGTCGCATTGAATCTGCCGGTGTGAAGAAGTTGAGAGATTTCGGTTAACGTAGATCAGGCTACGAAACCGAGCTGCGTCCTACTCAGCCGTGGGTCGGTATAGTCGCCAGGCGCTGTGATTAACATGTGTTCGATAGCTGGTGATGGACGGTTCCTGGATTAGGAGAACATCCAGGTTCTGGCTTTGGTGATCGTTGATGAGGGCTTCCATTCTTGGTCCCGATTTCATGATGTTCAACTGTAGTTCGCGTAGGTTGGTCTTTAACATTGAGATGAGTTGGAAGTCGCGGGGGTTGGGCACTGCAGATCGCCAGTTGGGTGTTCGCCACTACAATCGAGACATCTCGCTCTGATGCCTGGGGGACATCTCTGCCGCTCATGTTGGCCTGCACAATGGCCGCATCGTGGTGTTACTTGCACGACCACGCTAGGTTTCCGAACCGTTGACACCGGAAGCACCTCTTTTTCTTGATCTCACGGCGTTCCACACTGCCAATGTATATCTGACCAACCAGAAGGCCGTTGTTCAAGAGATATTCAGCGCCTTCTGCCGAGTCAAGCCAGATCCCAAGTGATGCAAACTTTCCTAACACTTTGTCCTTTTTCTTGAGCCACGCCACCTCTTCAATGCGGAAACCCCGTTCAACTAGATCATTTTCTTCCATGATTTTCTCCATGGCCTGTGTGTTTGCGTTTTCCAAGTCAAAGTCTTCTGTCGGTGTGCGGTGCACAACCACACCAAACCGTGGTTTCACCAGTTTTGTGTTGTTTCCTAGTACGTTTAACCATTGGGTATTGTTGCGGGCCGTTTCGGCTGATGTCTTGTCTTTAAACAGAATCACATATCCAGTCTTTGTGGTGCCAATCCAGCGACCTCAGCACCTTGTGTGGCGGGTGCGGTCAATAACCCGGTGCGGATATGAGAGTTAGCGGAGTCGGTGGAGAGGTATCGGCCAAATGTGTTGCCCTCGCCGTTGCCATTGTCCCTTGGATCAACAAATGATTGCTGGGTACTAATCCGTACGCAATTCTGGTCCTTTTCATAGTGTTGGCGGTTTGGTAGGGGGCCTGGGTTGTTGCCAGCGGCTACGACCGCGGCCCATGATCTGGTCAGGGGTGCTGGAGCGGCATCTATTTGAGCTCTCAGGGATTTGACTTCTTCATGAATCTTCTCATTCTGCTCTTGAAGGAGATTCTGGTCATGTTTGACCTCCTGGATCTCTGCCTTGGTAGATTCGATGAGTGCGGTTTGGTGGTGGATGATGTCTTTCAGGCTGTCGATGAGCTTCCAGACCTCCCTGGTGGTGACTCGGCCTGTGCCTTCCAAGGGGGTGAAGCCTTCGCCACTTCGAGTTCGTTTGTTTGGGATAAGGGGTGTAATACCCGTCACCCGGGGTTGGAAGTCCTCGGCCGTGAAGCTATTCGCGGTTTCTGGGGTGTTTGTGGGCGGGGGTTCGGATAGCCCCGCGGGTGGGTCCGCCATCGGTCCGGGATTAGCTCCCGCTCGGTACACAACAATTGTATATCGTGATAATATCAACCAAAATGTCGGCTTCTCGCTCCGCTTCGAATGAAAAAATCGTCTTCTCTTCGGCAGGGTCTTTGTAGACCGCCCTCTACTGTATATAATCCCTGTTTCACCGAAATGTTTGTCTGCGGGATATTGTACCACTGTACCTCTCCCCAATCCCCGGCCTCCATGCCCCAGACCCCATAAGTCCCCAGAGTATGCGCTATTGAAGACTTTTCTTTCTTTTCTGGAAAAACGTTGGTGCATGTGTATCAGGTTTGCATTAGTATGGGGTTGTGTGAATACAAGAAGGGAATGCTGCGTATCAGGTCTAACATTGCCAAGGACTAGTGGCTGCCCCAGCATCTACATGATGGAAGCAATGCGTCTAACAACTATAAATCCGACCCAGACCATGGAGGAAGGGTTCTTTTAATCACAGTGAGAGTGGAAGGCTCGAGGTTAGGGGTTCTTGAACAGCTAATAGAAGTAGGGTCGTTAAAAATACAAACCCCCTGTCCTTTTTGGTATGGCTGAAACCTCAAAGTCCAACGTGCCTAACTCGATAGAGTAATAAATGAGCGACGCCGCAATCCTCTGAGTGTACTTAACAAAAAAAATGTTGGAACAGCTTTGACACAATCATACGCATGAATCACCGAAACCTTAGTGGTCTGCATTGGTTATGTTCGTATACACACATATTTCTATGTGCCCGAGCATGACTGAGGCTCTTGGCTAAGTTACAATCTGACAATTACTTACAATACCAATTCTCCACTGATACCGACAACCCCTCCTCGCCCCCACTCAGAAGGAACCGGCACGGGCGAAGTTTACGGGCTCACACCCAATTGCCGAGCCAAACGACTCAGTAGGACCGTGGTTGACTGGGGCCCCAACTACATTTTCTCCGAAGACTGCCCGGTCGGAACTCAACCCCTGGGAAATCGAAGCCGGCAATGGCTGAGCGAGATACCGAAACAGAATTCGAGCCGATCCGTTACGAGCTAATATCGATTTGGCCACATATTAAGCCAGGAAAAGAGCCCTCAGGCCCTGTTTTTCAATTTCTTCGGCACGATAGGACGACAACATGATCATGTGGAAGAGCAAGATGCTAGGCGCTAAAAAAGCTTCTGTATCCGACCAGTATATTCCCTTTTGACGTGCAAGTATACCTCCGCTCCGTGGATTATATTCAGCTGTCAAGCAAATTAGATTCGTTGAATATTGAGCCTTTCAGGAAGAATTAACGCTAGCAATATAGAAGAAAGCAGCGTGATACGAGACGCCGACACAAAGTTTTGCCGAGGATATTCCGAGCCCGGGACGACATGGGAACGACCTGATATCACCCATGCTGGTGCGGATTGGAGAAATTGGTCAAATGGAATACAATACCGCCGTCATGCATCCCTATATGGCATGTTTCTTCCACGCTCACACTATGTCTTAGCAGGGACCCCTGCCAAGCAGCTGTAGAATACTTTCTTGCTTGCAAGACATGGACCGTCATTCCGAGGTTCCTCCGAAGTAAACAAGATTGCAGTGAAATCCATCAAGGTGCCTACACGGAACTGACTCTTAATGCGTCTTGGGGGAAAAGAAAGTTAATTCCAGCAGGAGATTTCCAGGAGCCGTCGGGGAGTCTGTGGACGGTCCCCGCCTTTTGCAGCCCGAGCTGTCACAAGACTCAGTGGGGTTGAGAGATGGTAATAATGAACTGTGGGGTACCCTGGAGTTGTGCAGGGACTGGATTCTCATGCTAATTTTCAGGATCCGTCTCCGCGAATTGTCTAGAGTAAGGGGCTTCGATTCATGGGCGCCACTGTGCGGCAAGCTATCGCGGAAGGGATCCAAATCTCCGCGACTTTTTCTCCTTGATTTTTCTCTTTTCTAAATCTCTCATATTTCTAATTCGGGATGGCGCTGGGCATTCTCCCCAGATTGGCAAAGTACCATCCAAGGAAGGTTATACTCTAGTTTCTAGTAGGCTTACCGCATGGTCATTTGCCTGGTACTATACAGGGGCCACCAAAAAACTCCATATGATTTCGCAACCACTTTACAAAGATAATGTATATTATGCATTACATTCTGTCGAATAGCATGGTGGAATACATGGTTAAGACAGGGTATATTACCCAGAATATCATCTGACCACTGAAAGGTGGATAGTTTACCACATAGAACAGTATATTATGTTTATTCATCATGTCCGCACGGATTGTCAAAAATTGCGGATTTGACGTTTTTAGTTTGAAAGGTGGATACCATACAAAAGTGCATATTAAGTTTGGTCATCATGTCCGCACAGATTGTAGTTAGAAAATTGCTGATTTATCATTTTTTAGTTAGTTAGCGAGTTACATAGCGGTTTGACCCCCAAGAATGACATTAGGAGCTGGACTTCTCGCCTCGAACGTCAATTTCAAGACAGCTTTTTTGCAAATACAGAAGCAGACATCACAGAAGATGAACTAGGCAACTGCCGGTCCCTTTGCGAAATGTTTCTGACGAGCATCCCGAGACCAATAGGGGGATATGAACCCGCGAGCCATGGCGGTTTCCCCACAATACTTTCCTCTCGAATCATCGATGTGGGGGTCTAAGTTCTCGCGGAAAGAGACCATGTAGTCCGCGGTTCCCCAAGATTAGTCTCGTTCAGTTACTCCGGATAAGTGTGCGGGAGTGTTATGCAGATGTAATATGCAGTGGTAAGCAGATGTTTTCAGGACTTACTCTATCTGAAGAACACTAAAATTTGAAATGTCCCTAGTCTAGATGAAAAATGGCGTCATTGAGCGACGATCTTGAAGGCATCTTGAGGGTATAAATTACCTTTGTCGTAAGAACTGAGGATGGATGTCAGCACACTTCTACCTACTGCTTTACAAGCACCTAAATCGTTGCTGTAATCATGCTCCTCGCCTTAGCATTCACACTCGCTACTCAGGTTGTGGCGGAAGACTTCCGCCCAATCTACCATTTTGTCCCTGAGGAGAACTGGATGAACGAGCCCAACGGGTTAATTAAGATCAAATCAACCTGGCACCTGTTCTATCAGCACAACCCAACGGCAAATGTCTGGGGCAATCTGAACTGGGGCCACGCGACCAGTAGTGACCTGGTCCACTGGACTCACGAGCCCCTTGCCATAACAAGCGAAAACGGCGTCGAAGCGTTCACCGGCACAAGCTATTATGATGCCGATAACACTTCCGGTCTGGGATCTTCTACCAGCCCACCCTATCTGGCCTACTACACGGGGTATTTTCCTTCCAACGGGACCCAGGACCAGCGTCTTGCCTTTAGCGTCGACGATGGCGCGAGCTGGAAGAAGTACCAGGGCAATCCCATTATCCCGGCCGCTCAGGAGTCGTCGCATGATGAGACGGGGGGCTAGAGACCCGCGATCCCAAGGTCTTTTTCCACCAGGCATCTGGGAAATGGGTCATGGTCCTTGCCCATGGCGGACAGGACAAGCTCACGTTTTGGACATCGTCGAACGCAAAGTCCTGGACATGGAAGAGCGACCTCTCTGCTGGCCATATCGAGGGTCTACCCTCTGGAATTACTGGGTGGGAAGTGCCTGATATGTTCGAGCTCCCTATTCAGGGCACCAACGCGACCACCTGGGTGTTGATTATAACCCCTGCAAACGGATCTCCCGCTGGTGGTAATGGTGTTTTAGCCCTGACAGGTTCATTTGACGGATCAGCATTCAAACCTGAGCCTGTCGATCCTTCTACCCTTTGGCTTGACTACGGTCGCGATTTCGACGGTGCCTTGAGTTGGGAAAATGTCCCTGCTGCAGATGGGCGACGGATCCTTGCCTCTGTTATGAACAGCTACGGCGCAAGCCCACCGACCAATACCTGGAAAGGGGTGCTGAGTTTCCCTCGGACAATTACCCTGAAGGAAACCGACTCCAAACGATACTTCCTCCAGCAGCCTGTCACTGAACTCGCCCTCGTTGGTTCCCCGCTGGCCACAATCCAGAATCGAACGATTACCACCGGCCAAACGTTGCTGTCTTCCATCCACGGAACCGCGTTAGATATCAAACTTACCTTTTCTATTAACGCAGGCGCCAAACTCTCGCTAGCAGTGCGTAAGGCCGCGTCAGAAAAGACAATCATTCAGTATGACCAGACAAACTCGTCAATATCTGTTGATCGAACGACGAGTGGAGACATCTCCTATGACCCCGCTGCAGGTGGGGTCCACAGTGCTTCCCTAAAACCAGATGGTTCCGGGGTTATTCATCTCCGCGTCCTAGTCGACACTTGCTCGGTGGAGGTGTTTGGCGGAGAAGGAGAAGTTGTGATTTCAGACTTGATTTTTCCTAGCGAGACCTCTGATGGGCTGTCCTTGGAAGTCACTGGGGGATCGGCCAATTTGCACTCTGTCGAAGTGCGCGGCATTTCGCTCAACTAACGTGAGAGTCATGGAATTTCGTCGTCACCCCCTAGTGTGCCTTGCCGAGTCCAGTAATTGTAAATTTATTGGTGACCTCACGCAGTCAAGAGGGCAAGGAGATAGTAGTTTGGCCGTAACGGGTAACCTTTCGCTGCGGTCTTAGACCGTAGCGTCAGATAGGGCCCTTCCACGCTCCCTATTAGGGAGGCAATGTGTCTGTATTGCAATAATTCCCATGTACAGAGGGAAGGTGGGAGGGACAAAATCGAGTCTTGACTGCGTGAGTAATGATGAGAATGTGATGGCAACCAGTGGATGTAGATGAACAAGTCTGATTTCGAGTACAACCCCTGAGCTAACAATTTATAGTTAAGGGGTAAAACAAATTACTAATCTATGATGTTTATTCAGAACCACCCACTAATATCCTGTTGAAGTTGAGGACGCCCTGGTAGTGATATTCAGAGTGTGTCGATCAGGTTGTATTGTTGATCATGTGATCCATGAGTCGAATTGGCCACCGACTGGTGGTCGGATTACCCCGGGGGGGGGTGTCTCGGATTACCAATTCCCTTTCTTTAATATCGTCATATTTCGTTATTCCGTGGCATATGATAATCAACTCCGCAGGTCGATTTCGATGATTATTCATTCGCAGAAAGAGCATCCCACAAAATCAAGTAGATTTTTGACATGAAACTATTCAGATATTTGGACGGCATTTTTTATTTATTATCTTATATGTGTGCTTCGTGACTTCGGAATATCTTGCCACAATTTGAAAAATCATCTGACAACACGCCTTAAACATCAACGATCTTGAGTGATCAATCCTCTCTTCGCGCCAATAACGATACTGGCGACCAGTTATAAATGAATCCATCAGTGTTCTGCGAGGACAGTTGATAAAGAGCCACTTCCTGCTCGGTAATTGAAAGTAATAAATCATGGTCAAGTATTCTTTTGATGCCCTGGAGAATTTCTCGTAGAGCCAGCAGATATGTGTTCGTGCATAACTGTACTAGGTTGAGTTCAAAGTGACCGGATTCTGATTCAATGATGCAGAAGCTGTTTTGCCGCAACCGATTAGGCAAATCAGACACCCAGCTGTATGATAGCATGAATTAATATAGTAAAATCTAATGCGGGCTTAGGCAATATACCTGTAGTCAAGGCCAACCCTCTGAAATATTCCGTTGATGCGTTGTTCAAACTCTTGTGCTTTATCACCCTGAACATGTTGGTGTACCAAATCTGCGTCTTCCCATTGTATGTACCCTCCAGGTTCTGTAAACGTATTTTGGATTCAGCAAACATTAGAATGAATATTTGGACTTAAAACGTACTCAGTAGACACTTCACGTGTCGAATCAATGACGATGTGTCGCTGTCACGTAGATTACTTGCCCACATGCGAAGATGGACCATATCGTATTGACCTGCTAGCGACATAGGTGGATCACTGAGGGAGTCCAGGAGCCCTAACGAGACATTCTTAGGCCACAGCTCCTTTGGTGGATATTGACTGTTGGATATATCAAAGCCGTGCAGCTGAACTGATGATGGTAGTTGCCTAGCAACATCAAAAATCCAGACACTATGACATGATTGGAGGTTATTAAAAGAAAGTCAAATGATTTCAATGGAAAAGAATACTCACGCAGTTCCCGTTCCCACTTCAGCTATCTTCATGTTGTCCGTTATGGGAATCTGCGGATGCAGCTCGTAACCTTTATGTAATTTCCATAGTAGATGCTGCGCTTCGAGCCTGCTTGTAGTTAATACTGCTTGTCGTATAATGCACCCGAAATATGGTGAGTGGGCTAAAGCAGAAAATTGATCATTACAGACCTAACAGAATCCGTTATGCCTCGGCCTAAAACGTATTCGTCCTCTCGAGTCATGGCTTTCTGATCTTCCCAGTCGGATAAGAAAGACGAAAATAATTTAAAAGATGAGTAAAGGTGTTCTTGAGGTTGGGATAATAGAGAAACTATCAGGAATTTGGCCTTGAGCGATGATTATGTGCCTTTTATGGTTGATGAATACATCACCATAAAGCCAAAATTTGGCATTTGCCTTGACGTTCCGTTAATATTTCATTAACCTTTCTGTGAAGTGCAAGAGAACACGCGTACTATGCACTCGTCTTCTGGATAAGTAGTGATTGCCGCGTTAGGTCCCACATGAATAGGATTATGATGTCATAATTTCGTCACACTAAAGAATCTCACAACCCGCTATGTTAATACTCTTTGTTTGTGTACATGGTGTAAACTTTTATAGACTAAAAGGGATGACAGATGACCTTCTCGGCTCTAAATAAGATAAATAATGTATGAGTTTACCTCTTAAATCTAAAGCTCCGGGATAATTCGGCCTAGCTAACATCTCTATATACTTCCTAGCTGGATTTGCATATCGCATCGCTATGGAATTTGAGCGATAATTGAATGCTGTGCACTTTCTAGTGAATCCTAATTTTATAAGCGACCTAAGCGCATCTTCTATGACGCAAACAGCGAAGCCAATCCATGTTCAAAAGCAGCTGGTAAAAGTTTCCAGGCCAAGATCCGATTCAGTCGACCCCCCATGCTTTTTAGGCGAAGATGATGACGTGTGGTATTCCAACAACTCAAACATCCAGGTCGGCCCTAGCAAATCAAATTGACTAGTACGCCTATCCAGACTTTGTCAATAATATCCGTGCCCCACACTATCATCCAAGAAGGGTGAGGGCAAGGACTTCTGGCCTGCGGTCATTCAAATAAAGAAATGGGCCGTAGACTGGTTTGACTTCTAACAGTCCTGTGACATAAATGGTGTAACGCTCACGACGCAGGAAATCGAATAGGGGAATACGTAGTCGTCATGAGGATGTGCTTGGGACCTTCTCTTCCTTGACCGAGAGTGCTGGTTTAAGTACCTCTTCATTCTGGTAGGAGATATAAAGATGTGTAAGTCTGGCTCTCTGATAGACTCGCAGTTGGGTATTATACCACATTGTGAATTTAGCTCTTGATTGTGACGCTAAGTCTTCTTTTAACGGACAAGATCGACTTAACCATGCCTTCCCATCGCATGTCTATGAGTTTCACCAGCCCATCTGACGCACTAGGATCAGTGACCAAGGTACTTGCAAAGCACCAAAGCGATGACTACTTTACATACGAGCGTGACGGACACTGGTACATAGGGCTTGGAAGTCAATCCTCATTACTGATTGACCCTAAGGGAGAGACAATAACTGTTATTACGGGAGCAGAAGAAACATCACGTGCCGTTGACAAAACCTCGACCACTGATATCGTGAGGGATTTTATTTATGAGAACTCGAAATATGGGAGCAAGATACATGGCCAAGTGGGATTCAACTACGCTGCTCTTATCCGTGGCCAAACATTCAATCACGGCCGCTGGCCCCTTCTTAGCCTAATGGTACCGCGAAACGAAATTACTGTCTGTCAACATGATGTTACTGTTGCGGGATATGACGAGGAAGAAGTGCAAAACCTATATTCTTTGATCAAGCATGATACCCCCAGCTTCGACCTTGACTATTCTCGGAATAACGTCAATATCAACACACAAGACACCGCCGACAAATACACTGGTCTGGTCAAAAAAGCGTTATCGGACATAGCCCAGGGGCAGTACACAAAAGTCATTGCCTCTCGGGTCGTGGAAATCGGGCACAAGGTCGATATGCCGGCAACCCTTCTTCTTGGGCGACGCTCAAATAACCCTGCCCGAAGTTTTTCCTTCAATCATAACGGCCATGAAGCTACAGGTTTCAGTCCAGAGCTTGTATTGTCGGTGAAAAAAGGAAAAGTAGTCACTGAACCATTAGCAGGGACTCGGTCCTGTGAAGGAACGAATGAAGAAATTGCACAGCTGCGACAAGAACTGCTCAACGACCCAAAAGAAGTTCTGGAACATGTGGTATCAGTCAAAGAAGCAATAGAAGAGCTGGGCCGACTGTGCCCACCAGATTCTATCACAGTTGAAGATCTGATGTCGGTCAGGGCACGTGGCTCCGTCCAGCATATAGGGTCTCGGGTTGGCGGGATGCTCTCGCCTGATAAGGATATATGGGATGCATTTGATGTCCTATTTCCATCCATCACAGCCTGCGGTATTCCGAAGAATGCAGCTATCGAGGCCATTCAACGCTTGGAAGATCGCCCAAGGGAGCTTTACTCCGGCGCTATTCTCCTGGTTGAGGGTCTGGAAACCATGGAAGCAGCACTTGTTCTCCGCAGTGCATTCCAGGATACTAGTCGCCAGTGGATCCAAGCTGGAGCCGGCATCATTTTACAGTCAAATCCGCAACGAGAATTGAGGGAGACTCATGAGAAACTGGCAAGTATTGCGCCATTCGTGGTTCCCAAGGCTGCATAGTATGAAAAGTGCCGCCCGGATATGTGAATGTCTGTTCCAAATTGTTGGTAAGGATCAAAAGAGTTGTCGTTTGTTATTCTGCCTGCAATTATCAGAATGAATTATGTTATGTTTTCGTCTAGATATTGGAGACTGGTCAACTTTAGTTTCGAAGGCAATAGGTCAGAGTTCATATATTCCTTCACTAGATAAATTAGGCTCCTGAGAGACGATCAAGAGTTCTTTGGCAAGGCTAGGTTGTCCTACACACACGCGCGCGCAGGGTCTATGTAGATCCGTCACTATTTGAAGAAATCTTCGGCTGTCGTTTGACTGTTGGGCATCACTGAGGTGCAAAGAATGAACACATCAAGAAAAGGACCCATCACTATAAAGTTCGAGCTCTTTTGGCCAATCGCTCCGATTGTCTGAGTTCAGAAGAGGTGCTTTCGGCATCCGATAATTTGCATTCGTGGATCCCGCAGCATGGAGGCTATACGCAGGTCCTTTCCATCGTTAAGTTACTAATACAAAAAGATACTGATGTCGAGTCGAAAGATTGCAATGGCCGTACGCTGTTTTATGGACCGCGCTGAGCTGCTAATCCATAATGCCATAAAAAAGACAGAGCCCTGATCCATAATGCCTTAAAGGAGGGAGGGCTCCCGCCGACTTCTCCGCACACGTATTGGTCTCCAGTGCGTGCTCCCGGCACCCATGGTGCGTGCCCGCAAGACCCCCACCCCATCAAAATCGCGAAATCCGCAACCGCCGACCGCAGCGCTCCCAGGGATCCCTGCCGGTGGTGATCACGATTCATCCGACGAGATATGCCATATGGTATGTAGTGAAAAGATCATCCTTACCCCTGTCGCAGATCGTACTGGACCCACGCTTCACCACACCGGATGACCACACGTGGAGTATAGATGTGTATCCCGGTCGTCTAGATATATATATTTCGAATAATGCGAGTACTGTGCTAGTGATTATTTTTTCACTGATTTGTTGTTTGAGTGTTACGCGTTGCTATCTGGTCATGGTGAGTGGTCAAACATTGGTCAAAAACTTACCAGTTGTTAATCGGTACAATAAACGATATGTGCCGGCGTAGCCAGAAAGAGCCCCCTGAGCACGACTTGGTAATCCTCCAGTATCGACTCGCAACCGTACCGTTGCCGTACTAGGCCTTATACGGGCTCGGATCCTACTGAGTAACTTCGAAGGATGTGCCAGGTAGAGCGCCAAGTAGGTCAGTCCGGATAGCTCCCCTACTTGTAGGATATTTTGGCTTGGTCGAACACTGAAGATACAATCAAAGGTATATGTAAGTAGCAACGTGTAATTGATCGCGAAGAACTAAATACATGTGCGTAAAGGAACATCCTTATTTATTGAAGAGGGGAACGCTCGACGGCAGCACGCGCTGAGACGTGCGGGTCGATTCAGCAGAAAAACCACCACAAACCACACACGTAGCAATCAGGAAATAGCGAGAAACCCATATGTAAGGGGAGGGGGTCTTCCCACTACAATATATATCCGAGTATGTTCATGTAGAGTGATCCACATCCTGAAACAAACTTAGACTCTCGTCAAGGCCTATTGCCCAAACTGCCGCTCCCGTTGTTAGATTGCCCTTATTGCGCACGACTGCGAAACCGCTGTGACATCTCGGCGAAGTCAAGCACGACATTGACCGTTTGGACTCGCGAGACGGTGTCTGGTTTTACCTTTCTTTGGGCCACCCAGCAGACTCGACACGCTGTCGAACGCGTCTCCAACTTCCCTTCTTGACTCACTCCGCAATTCGGCCAGTCTTAGACAGTCCACCAGAACATAGTGACTGTTTCTTGCGCGCCGCAGACGCACTGATCATCCTCGCGGAAGCTAAAGGTCTTGGCATAGGTGGACAGCCAATTATGGCCCGTGCGAAGTTACGTCAACAGATCCGCTCGGCCTCTAGATAGGTTTCCGTATAACTTCTAAGTATACGTCACAGGTAGGGTGCTGTCAATCTTCCGTAAATGACCGCCTTTAGTGCTAGATTTCCACTCTTGCTCCCACTGAGCTCGGATCTTTCCGCGAATATACGCGTTCTCCCTTTTTAGCAGCGGGCGGAACTAGTGGGTCTTGCCTGGGCGGGCAGCTTCCCGGGCTAGTCGGTCTGCCGCATTGTTCCCAGGGTCATCACAATGTCCTAGCAACCACAACACCCCCCAGTCATGTGGTTTTAAGGGGCTTAGCCATACTGGGATATTGACTACACGCGATGCGAATCGATCAATTACGACTAGGAGGGCCAAAGAAGATGCCGCAGAAGAGAGGAGATCGCAAGGGACTATAAGAAAAGATACGGTCGCAAGCCGCCACCTTTGGCTACACAGGAGAGCGAGGCATCAATTGAAGCAGCGATGGTAGCGCAAGAGATTGGGGAGATATTTTATTTAGATCCAGAACCGGCGCGTTGATAAATCGTGTATTTAGAAAAAAATTGGTAAAAGTGACGGTTACGCTGTGGCGCATCCACAACGGGACGCTGTGGGTGGGCAGAAAGACACAGATACCGAGAAGCGGTGTTGGGGTACCGCAGGTAAAAACTGGAGGGCGCGGATGCTAGTACGGGAAACAATCGGACCGCAATAAGACCCTTATTCACCGCCCCCATTCCGCCTTCCTAATAGGCTAGTACACCCTGTCACGTTACTTATAGGCTAAGAATGTTGCCTACAAATAGTGCGGTTAAAATCCGTTTAAACGCCAGTACGTAGCGACACACATGCAACTTTTAGCGGGTTCCTACAAAAAGCGTCAAACCCTCATCTCATATTTTATCCACGTAGCCATGGTTCGCTCGTTTGGAACCGAAATCAGCTTAACGATATTAAAACTGGACAATTGCCACGAGGTGTCGCACTAGTCCTACTGTAGTTACTGTACACCGCTCTCGAGTCGTTACATAATTGGAACGCTTCCCCGCCTCTAGTCACCGAACGTCATTTCTTTCATCGTCGATGCAACCACTGCCATAACGATCTTAAAGTCGAGCTTCTATATTCCATTGAATCATGTTCCAGTATACTCTCAAGCTTACCACCAAACATAAAGTGACAAGTTACCCAATCCAGGAACCCGTAGCTATTTGTCGTGAGAATTCATCGATTGAACTAACGCTCTTTAGATTGAGCCCCACCTCCGTCCGTCTGGTTAAGCCAAAAAGTACTCAAGCTCTCGTCCCTGACCAGCAGTTGTCATGGTACATTATGTGGGCATGATGTTGCTTCTTCCAGGCAGTCAGCAACTCCATAATGAAGCCACACGGTCCAATCCGGCACCATCGTCTTCCCGAACGATGGTGATCGATCCGCTGCCTCTATTACAGCGAAAGGGGTTAATTGCGATCATATCCATAGCCTCTGTTTCTTTGGTGGCCACATTTTCACTGCTAGCTTTCCTCACCTATCGGCTCATTTTCTGGCGCAGATACTACCACCGATACCTGGGGTATAACCAATATGTCGTCCTCGTATATAATCTCGCGCTTGCGGATTTTCAAATGGGCCTGGGATTTATTGTCAGTCTGCGGTGGATTTTTACAGATTCCGTCGATGGATCTGATATCTTTTGTTTACTCCAAGGCATTTGGCTGCAGATCGGGAATCCAATGAGCGGGATGTTTGTGCTTGCCATTGCCATGTATACCTTTATTCACATCATCCTGGGCTACCAGCTCGGTCACCGTATATTTGTGGCCGCGGTAGTCTGTCTGTGGATATTTGGTGTGGTGATAGTTGTTATTCCAATCGCTACGATAGGCCGGTATGTCTGGTTCCCAGCAGTCGCATGGGTGAGTTTTCGTTCCTTCAGGCGTTTGTACTGTGCATGACTGAACTTTTCCTTTCCACTCAAGCAGTGTTGGATACCAACTGAGCAACCCGTGTTGCGGTTGTGGACACATTACTTCTGGATTTTCGCTGCTCAATGTCTTACGATCCTGCTCTACGTTGTTATCTTCGTCCAGCTCCGACGCAAAATTGCTGAGTGTATTTTGCTTGGAGGCCAAAACACTAGCAGTCTCCGTCACTTGAACCGTGTTGCCAGCTGCATGATTCTATACCCGATCGTATATATTACTCTATCGTTGCCTCTTGCCGTGGGTCGGATGGAATCTGTGAATGGCCATACCCCCAGCGTTACATACTTCTGTATCGCGGGCTCGCTTCTGGCGTCGTCTGGTCTGTGCAACACACTACTCTATGCATTGACCAGGAAGAACTCGGTCATGCCTCCGGAGAGGACACCGATGGCCGACAACAGATACGGCCGACCAGCCAGTCGGAGGGGCGGGGAGTCCACGAAAAGTAATGCACGGCCTCGAATGATAGAGCACTGGGGCAACACATGTAGTACCGGTGTTGCTCCCCACTACGACGACCCCACACCCGAGAGCATCCCAAATGGTGGGTTCGAGCAAGATCTGGATTTTGGACTGGCAGATACCCCGGCTCATCCAATGGACCACAATGATCCACCGAGTGATGGATGGTAGGCTTATTGGAAGAAAATGATGTCTCGACTCTTGAAACAGTCCTCCCGCGAAGAGGCGATATGTAAGATCTCCAACAGGCAAATTGTGGTAGGTGACCACAACACCACAACGCCCGGATGGAGATTATTTTAGTATGATTAGAAAGCCCGCATCCGCCAGACTCTAAAACCAATTCTCTTTTTACATATTATTGAAAATTGGTGGCAGGAAAGATGAAATACTCTCAGCCAATAGAAACTCGGATGAAAACCCAGACTAGTCACGTGCCATTCCCTCTACTGACCGGGGTTCTGTCTGTTGTGCTAGGCGTAAACAGGAGGCAGTAAGCATCCAAAACTTGTATTCTCACAACTAGACAGTCGCATAATCATCAACATGTGATACCATGATCCAATTTAATCATGACACACACAAATCTAGATCCATTGACTGCCATTCACGGTGCACACACATATGTTTCTGCCAGTGAGCGCTGATTGTTAAGTTCCGAAATTTTGAGGCCTGGGCGCACCGACAGTTCGGCGCCCAGATCAAAAGATTCCTCACCGATAACGGGAGAGAATTTCTGCCAGTTGGAACACATCTTGAATCCCAGGGAGTTGAGTTCGATACTTCGCCGCCATATTGCAAAGGGCAGAATGGACTGGCGGAACGCACGAATCGCACTATCCGGGAGCGGATCAACACGCTCCTGTCCGATGCGAGCCTTCCTCCTTCCTGGTGGATCGAGCTTGTAGACACAGTGGTCTACCTGAAGCTGCGTGCTCCAGCTTTCGATCTTACAGAAAAAGACCCCATTTGAAATTCTATATGGGAAGCCGCCCTCACTCTTGCATCTGCGACGGATCGGCTCCCGTGCATGGGTCTTAATTCCAAAAGAGCACCGAGCAAAACTTGGACCGAGATCATCTGAGTGCCGACTGCTAGGCTATTGTGAACCGAACCAGTTCAAGCTCTATGAAATCCATTCTGGAAAGACAGTCTTTTCACGTGATGTCGAGTTCGATGAGAGGACCCCGGTGGCGCCACTCATCGAGGGGGAAACAGGCAACGACCTCCTGGACAACGCTCCTCCATCACCTGTCTTTCCATCAATGCCAAGTTCAGCCAGCAGGCTGCCAACACCACCTACATCGCCATTACCTCCATCGAGTGAGCGAGAGAAAACGCCATCTGAGCGTGAAGAAGAGACACCTCCAGTGGTCAATCCAAGCCAACAAGGAATCGACTTGACATCGGATCTTGGGTATTCGATCTATGGCCGCAAACGAAGACCGTCACGGCGTCTCCTGGAATCACTCGGCAAGGTGTACTCGGCAGGCACATTGAAAACCGCACCGGACAGACAAGTCGACCCGGCGACCTTTCGCGAAGCTGTGTCAGGCCCAAACAAGTTGGAATGGTGGGCCGCCATCCAGAAAGAATATGCGTCGCTTCTCGAACACGGAACATGGGAAAAGGTTCGACGAGAGGACATCCCAGTCGGAGATCATGTCATTGGCTGCAAGTGGGTCTTCAAGACTAAGACCAACGGGACGCGCAAAGCGCGCTTGGTCATCAAAGGCTACCGGCAGAAATATGGCATTGACTATCAAGAAACGTTTGCTGCCGTATCGCGAATGGACTCGGTCCGCTGCATTGTTGCCAGCGCCGTGTTGCGCGGTTGGAAGCTCCATCAATTCGATGCTGTCACTGCCTTCCTGCACGGAGACGTCGATTCGTCGATCTACATGGAGTTACCCGAAGGCTTCGAAGATTCAGGGTACGTGTGTCGGCTGCGCCGTTCACTGTATGGGCTGAAGCAGGCCCCGCGGATTTGGTACCAATGCGTCCACCGCGTCCTGGCTTCTCATGGCTTCACCATGGCCCAATCGGACAACTGTGTGTTCTACAAACCGGATTGCGTCGTTTGCATTTATGTCGATGACTTTCTCGTTGCTGCGGCAAACACGCACGAAATAGAACAAGTGCAACAAGTATTGCAGACAGAGTTCCGACTCAACGATCTGGGCACCCCGCGATCGTTCCTCGGCATCCAGTTCGACTATCACGTTGACGGTTCCGTGTCTATTCACCAACACCAGTACATCCAGAAGGTGCTCTCCGACTTTGGCATGGAGACTTGTCAGCCGAAGTCTACGCCGATGAATCCTAAGCAAATCCTGAATCATCATCCAGACGAGGCACTTCCGGACGAGGAAGCAAAAGCTCGTTATGCAACTGCCATCGGTTCGTTGATGTATGTGATGGTTGGCGCGTGACCGGACATTGCGTTTGCACTGGGCACGTTGAGTCGCTTCACGTCTCAGCCGCAATCACACCACCAAGTTGCTCTGCAGCGATTGCTTCGCTACATCAAAGCCACGCAATCTTGTCGTATTACCTACCGCAGTGAGTGACGCGATGAAAATTGGATCCACAGATTGAAACTGAGGAAATATCCGAAATTAATGATGGGTAATGCAAAAAGTTCGCAACCATGGACTTTTTCCGGTAGGTCTCGACCGCATTGATCACAGTGGACTGTGACAACCCCGCGATGGGATTGGTCTGGTCATCCACAAGATGAACAGGGGTCAACCGTGCTGGAGCTTTGATCACCTATCACAAGCGGTGACATATCTGTACAATTAACTCCCGCAGACCATGCAAGAAAGAAATCCGAGGCATTTCAGACCAGCGGACAATCAATCGTCGTGAGACCGCCAGAGACGCGTCTCCTCGTCGGGAAGCCCCTCCTCCAATCGCACCTGCTGATAGGAGCAGACCCGCCAGCCCCGAATCAGCATGTAGCCTGCCATGATGCCGCTCATCATAGCAAGCAGGAGGATAAGAGTGAAAACGCCGCCGATGCTGCGGACCGTCTCCTGGGTTTTTGAGAGCAACTGTGTTGCTTTAATGACCTGCGCCCTGGCCGTACCATCATCTGATGATGCTGTTGGGCTAAGGTCAATAACCTTTTCATCCGGGATGCCATCGCCATTCGGGTACATTCGCCCGGGATCCTGTGGCTTAGGGATTCCGCCGAACCCCATCCATCCCACGAAATGCCAATTAGGAAAATCGGTTCGGTGGATGTTGGACGATCCCAAGACGTTGCCTTCGCGATCCACCGCCTCGGCCGTGATCCAGTCCAAGTAGCCGCGGGCAATGAATATGGTCTCAAAGTCGTGCTTGGTGGCATTGCCGACATAGACAGGCTCATCGAATTGCGACCTGCGCGCGTAGAAGCGCCACACGTCGACCTCGGTAGCACCGTTCCAGCTAACCCAAATAGTTGTAACAAGGTTCGTATCGTCGGTGGCGTGAACTGCGGCCACCATGTCCGGAGGGATGGTGGGACGACCGGTGAATTCGAATTTATAGGCGCGGTAGTTGGAGAAGCGAGGGGATGTGAAGCGAGCGGACATGACCAGCTCACCGTCCTCAGTGAATTCCGAGATGTAGCCACCCTGGCTCCAGCACACAAACATATTCTTATCGGGAAGCACTTGGGCGTTACCACGGAGGCGGGTGAGGTCGCCATCCGGACGGTTATAGCGTCGCAGAACACGAGCTGTCATGGGGGTGGTACCGGTTTCGATTTCGATGATGAGAGCAGAGGAAATATCCTCCTCGCTGAATTCCTCATCGGAGGCGTTGTTGAGTAGCGAAATAACATGGTGTGTTCCCTCCGAAGACAGGAATTTAGCGTCGTGCTGTTTCGAGAAACTAAAGTCCTGGTCGAAGTCGCCGTTACGCTGGCCACCCAGGCGCCACAAAATGCGGCCGTCAGCCCCGGAAACCAGGTAGATAGTGTTAGTGAATCGCATAGAAAGAAGGTAATCGCCCGCAGCATTCTTGTCGACCGAATTAATGTGAACATAATCCCACCCGGGAGGACCCTCCACCTTAGACCACTTGGAGTAGTGAACAGTCTCCGCCAGCGGAACCTGATCATACGACTTCCATTCGTGAAGAACCTCTGCGGTGACCAGATCAAGTTCGGCGAAGCCACCAATCTCCAAGCTGGTTCGCTCGGTCGGTCGGTTAAATGCCGTGAGATCGATATCTTCGGTTAAATAAACCGTGACAACAGCTGTTCTGCCATTGTCGAGGACATTGAATTCGTGAATATCGAAAGAACCAAGGTCCTCTCGGAGTGGGACTTTTCGTACGGTCTGGAAGCTAGAGTCCAGAACCAGTCCGTAACCCTTGTGGCTTCCGTCAAAGGTGTACTGCTGGATCAGCGAAATATAGGTCTCGTTGCCGATGCTGTTGATGGCTTTGAAATCGAAGACGTTGCGGTTATCGAACATGGGCGAGCCGGTCCACACAAGACGCTAAAACAAAACACCAAAGAGTTAGTGTTATAGCTCTTCCGAGGGTTGAATTGGAGCAGATCCTCCACGTACACCTTCTTGGTCGTAGATATGCGGGCCGATCTGGAACCCCTCGAACACGCCGGTCGGGCCATCGGGCGCAATACGTAGATACGGCGACACAAACCAGTAACCGGGGCTGGTGCGATCGCGATCAAGATGTTCGATGTCGAATTTCACAGCCTTGACGTCTGGCAACTAAAGGATGACGCGATTTTAGTCGGGTCGGAGACCTGGGCTAGCGCACCACCACTTACGGTCCTAAAGGACATAAAATCATCGTCGGTGTGCTGCCAGGCAACTGCATAATGCGCGAGCAGCAGCAGCAGACTTGACCAAATCATGATGGGCGGAAAAGAGCGTCAATTAGAAATGAGCGGCCATGAAAGAGCGAAAAGGCCGAAAGGGCTGGAAAAGACGGAGGGGACTTTTCCTTGCGGCTGGAACAACACAGGCACAGGCACAGCCGCGACGGGGGTAGAAAGGGCCGACGGTCAGCGAGAGACTGAACCCGGTGGGCCCAATCGCCCTTGGGATGTTGCACGGCGGGACTGCTGGCTCCCAAGACGGGTTTCCGCTGGCGAGTACAAGGGTCGCGGGGTGTGGTACGCGCTGGCAGCCAGCAGATCCATGGAGAAC